ATTTTAAAACATTAATGGTGTAAATTAACAGCACTTTAAAATAGCAATCTACAATGATTATATAATTATATAATTTCAAAACAATAATTATATAATTTCCATACTTTGATAATTTTATGAAAAAAGTTATAGTTGTAGTTAAAAGCAGAGAATATGGAATAGCGTTTTTTTAAATTAAGAGGAGGTTCTACTCTAGAGGTCCAAAATTTATGTATTTTTTACCAATTTTTTCGTAAGGAAAGGAAGGAGATATTAAAACAATCTTTTGGCATTATGTTTTACATATTTCAGTGTACAAATAATAATTTTTTTCAAAAATATATAAATGGCGGCTGTAGGATAGGGATGTATCAGAGCATGCAGCGCGTACGTGGCCAATTGGCGGGAAATCCTGACAGTTTATCCGAGACAAAAAATCAATGAAATTATTAAAATATATTAAATTTGTGGGCCATGAACCTCATTTCATTCAAAAAATTTGAAAATTTACAGACAGCCATTTGAAATTAAGTGTTAATTTTCACGAACTTTTTTCTGTTTTCAACTTGTTCAAAGAAATAGTTATTTTGGAAAATTTATGGCATTTCCAGGTTCATGGCTCAATAAAAATTCTATTTTACATAAGAAAAAATATCAATTCAATCGAATGGTTGAAGCTGTATATTTCCTGCTAATTTAAAAAACATGAATTCAAGAAAAACACGAAAAAATAAAGTTTTATTTGATGATAATGATTTTAGTCAACTACAATATTTTGTAGGTTACATTTAACAAATAATAATAAGTAACGGGCAGTTTACATTTAATCAGAGCCTCTCTTCTTTCGATTCTTGCTTGTTTTGTGCGTAATACTGTTGAGTTCACTTGATTTTTTATCGCAAAATCAAGTTTAACAAGTCATAAATTGCTTTAACATTTTGAACATTAAAAAATCTTTTACAGGCATATTCTACACACTTCAGAGATGCCAATAATGTAAAACAAATCAATTTTTTTTTTACCCTCCAAAGTAGAACCTTCCTTTAACATTGTTCCAATATAAATGCATATGAAGACATTAAATTTATATACGAGGGCAAGTCAATAAGTTCTTAGAAAATCTGTCAGAAGGCACTCGTAGTGTCATGTCATATTACTTTTTGACAAGTAGCATCTTTCAGCTAATTACTGTCAAATTTTGAGCGGAATTCATCGCGTGGTTTTATTTCTGTAGACGATTAAAGCGAACAACCTTTGTATTTTTTGCAAAATGGAAAAAAACGAGTTTCGTGCAGTGATCAAACATCTATATATGAAAGGTTTAACACCGAAAGAAATCAAAACCGAGTTGGGTAATGTTCATAGCACATCTGCAACAGCGTTTGCGACTGTATACAATTGGGTGAATGAATTTAAACGTGGTCGTACATTCACATGTGATGCATCTTGTTCGGGACGTCCAATTAAGGCTGTTACGCCAGAAATCATCGATAAAGTCCATGATATTGTTTTGACTGATCGACGAGTGAAAGTGTGCGAGACACATGCTTGTTGAGACCACAGATATACTACTGTGATCAAAAAGTAAGGTGAATTTTTAATTTAAACTTCCCGCGCTAATCGATTTGAGCAAACTTTTTTATTTTTATGTTGGTACTACTGTTAGTGACATCTGTGGCAAATTTCATGTCAATGTCATCATTAGTCATATAGTTACGCTTGTGTTTTCTAAACGACTAAAAGTGATTTTGGCGATTTTTACAATGTCTGATTTTGCTGAGCAAAGAAGTGCCATTAAATTTTGTTTGCGGAATGAAATTTCGGCTGCGGAAACGTTCAGAGGGCCTTCGGAGAATCGACTATGTCGCAGAAAAATATTTATAAGTGGTACAAAGATTTCAAAGAAGGCAGAGAACGTACTGATGACTTGGAACGCCCCGGACGACTATCAACGTCAATTGATGAGCAACACGTGAAGAAAATCAAGGAATTGGTGCTCGAAAATCGTCGATTGACAATTAGAGACCTTGTCGATATGGTTGGCATTTCATTTGGTTCAGTTCAAACAATTTTGAAGGATCACTTGGGCCTTAGAAAAGTAAAATCTCGTTTGGTGCCAAAAACACTCAATTTCTTCGAAAAAGAACGTCGCGTTAAAGTTTGTAAAGAGATGATTTGTGACTATCAGGACGTCTACGAACGCATTATTACGGGAGATGAGACTTGGATCTATGCTTATGATCCGGAAACAACCGACCAATCGAGTGAATATCGTGCTAAAGGCGAGGCAAGACCAAAACAATCGCGCCAAAGTCGCTCAAAAATCAAGGTTATGCTGACAGTTTTCTTCGACTATCGTGGTGTTGTGCATTATGAGTTCCTTCCGCCGGGCCAAACTGTCAACAAGAAATATTATTTGAGTGTTATGCGTCGTTTGCGTGAAGCTATTCGCAAGAAGAGGCCGGATTTATGGAAAGACAATTCCTGGTTTTTGCATCACGATAATGCGCCGTCTCACACGGCATTGATTCTTCGTGAGTTTTTCGCCAAAAATTCCACTCATATCGTTCCGCAACCGCCTTATTCACCTGACTTAGCTCCGTGTGACTTTTGGCTATTTCCCAAACTCAAAAGACCGCTCCGGGGACACCGCTTTGAATCTATTGAAGAGATTCAACGTGAATCGCTGCGCGCTTTGAAGGCTATACCGGGAAACGACTTTTTGGCATGCTTCGAGGCATGGAAAAAACGTTGGCATAAGTGCATTGTATCGGAGGGGGATTACTTTGAAGGGGATCAAATTGATTTGGATGAATAAATAAAGATTTTTTATTTTATAACAAAATTCACCTTACTTTTTGATCACAGTAGTATCACATGGTACAGTGATTTTAATTTTGCACGAACAATTGGATATGGAAAAGCTATCGGCAAGATGGGTGCCGCGTTTGCTCACTGTGGACCATAAGCGTGACCGTGTGACGATTTCAAAACAATATTTGGAGATGTTTCAACGTAATCTAGATGAATTTCTGCGTCATTATTGTGGACGAACCATTACTTCATACCCGAGACGAAGGAACAGGTAAACAATGAACAATGAACTTCACCGGGTGAACCAGCTTCGAAAAGGCAAAGACCGTAAAGTCGGTCGGAAAGGTGATGGCCACAGTTTTTTGGGATGCACGCGGTATAATTCATATCGATTACCTTCCGTCGAAGCAAACGATCAATGGCGATTACTACGCAGCCTTATTGAACAACATTTTAAAGAAAAACGTCCCCATTTGGCTCTTCCATCAAGACAATGGATTCACGGATTCACATGTGCCCGGTAGCCAAATTCAACGAATTTCGCTACGAATTGCTTCCCCATTCAGCATATTCGCCAGATTTAGCCCCCTGCGATTATTTCCTGTTTCCAAACCTGAAGAAGTGGTTCGGAGGAAACAGATTCTCACCAGAGAGCAACTCATCGTCGAAATAGAAGCTTATTTTGAAGGGTTGGACAAATCATATTATTCGAACGGCTTGAAAAAGTTAGAGAATCGTTGGATCGAGTGTATCGAGCTGAAAGGAGACTACTTGTATGTTGAGAAATAAAAATGAATCGATCAAAAAAAAATGTGTTTTACTGTGTTTTTCTAACAACTTATTGACTTGCCCTCTTGAGGAATATATTAGCTACAACATCCAATAAATAAAAGTCGCTAAAATTTAAGTCCAACATCAATATTAATAAAAAAGTAAAAAGTGTGAAAATGGGAGGTCTAAAATGGGATGTAATATGGAGTATCGGTAGAATTTAAATAACAGTAACAAGTAACACAAATAAGTGAAGTCTAAATTTATTTATGTAACCAAGAAAAATAGTTAATGATAGTTCACATTTTTATTGTACAGTAACAGAAAATATAATAGCATGATTGGAGAAACTGACAAATAAACTGATAATATTATGGAATAGAACCTATAACCTATAATCGCAAATAAGCTGGTAATGTGTGGAATCCTATAACCTAACTTATCTAATATAAGTTGCTAATATGGAACCTATTTTATATGCTCAACCCTCATTTCACATTATCGGCATGTCGTCACATGACACAGAAAGTCTTTTTGTAGCAATAAAAAAGTTAGAAATCACAATTTATCTGCATAATATTGTTCATGCAACATTATTAAAAGCGTCTATGTAATATAAGTAGCGATGCACCGGATCGTAAAATTACCGGATAGAATGTAATTCGAGAAGACAATTTCTTCGAGTTGAATATCCGACATTTTCCGGATATCCGACTGGTTCCGAGAAAATGTCTTCTAAAAAGAAAAAGAAATTGTAGAGAAAAAAATTGTAATTTTGCAACAATGTATAAGATGTTGTAGCATTATGAATATACTTATTTCTATACCTTTGTATAATAAAAAATCAACAATTTAATGATATAAAATTTCAACCGTATTCCCAGATACTAATGATATCCGACTATTCGGTTGGATAGTAAAAAAGAACCGGATAATATCAGATACTGGATACTTTTCGGATATTCGGTGCATCCCTAAATATAAACATTAATAAACTTACTTTCAGTTTGTGAGAACACTTTTTAGAAAAAGATGTCGAATCTTCTAACGCAACGAAAATAAATAAATGTTTATTGTGATGAAACATCACAACATTTTGCTGAACTCATTGCTGAGCTCATATGTAGCAATTTCAACAACTTTCAGCGATTACAATGCTAGATTGCAATGCTTTGTTTAGAAAATAAGCCACCATTCCATATTAGCAATCTATTCCACATTCCCTGCTTTTACCCTATATAAAATTCGGCAAATAGCAAATAATCAGAAAAAATGATATAAATATTAATTTAATTTTAATGTATTCATATATAATAAATTATTGATACATATTTGTTTGACAATTACGACACAGTATCAAAAGATAAAAAAAAGGAGTTAATTGTAAAAATTATGTTGAAAAAAACATATACAATATGCCAACTTTAATCGTTTATAATTTAAAAAGTATTATAGTCTCAATATTTTTGTACACGATTTTTCATCTAGAATGTTCTACAAAATCTGCCAGTGAAAGGACCTATACTTTTTCTGGGACACTATACATACATACACGCGCGCGCACACGCAACGCACATATTTATAAATATATACATACGCGCGCGCGCGCGTGTGTGTGTGTGTATGTGTAACAAAATGAACCAAAAGTCTGGAGGCCAAGATCATTGCAGATTATTTCTCTTCTTTTTATTTTTATGTTAAAAATGAAAATGAGAGGAACAACTTTCTTGATTTTGACAAACATTATCAAAATCATAACTCCGAACAACATTTAAGAGGTTTGAGCTATTGATCGAACATCTCGAATAATGTTATAATAATATTGGCGGTACCTGAAAGTTCTAAACTAAATCATAAGGTTCATAGCACTCTCGTCAGACTTGGAAGTGGCTGACTTACAAATGGCTTAGAACTTTATCCAGTATCTTTACAGACAGACTTTACACAACTTTTTGCTAACTATAAGATTTACGAGAAATTGTAGCTATTCATGAATAATGGTACGTCTTACAGTACCTAAAATTACAACTACATTTACTAGTCATAAATTTTTACAAGTTTTACAGGAATAAATTACGATTCTGCTTAGATTTGATCTATTAATTAAAGGGAGTAAAAAGATCTCGATATCAGCTAATTGAAAAACGTGACATTTACTTTCAAAATTAAAGTTGACTTTGAGAACGTCTCCATACATTTGAGATCAAATAAGTCTCGCCGTTTGATGTTCAAATTTTACAAGCTTATGAAACATTTTTCTCAAAAATACTTTTTTTATAAGATATTCGACTGTCCAGACTTTCGGTCCATTCTGTATGTGATCTCTAGTAGTAGAGATTTTATTTAAAAAAGTTGCTCGTGTGTAAAAAGACAAAGAGATACTTGAAGGTGAAGTGTATGTATATCGTAGTCTTCTTATAAAGTTTATAAGAAGGAATGTATAAATTGGCGCTTTGTAATCAAGATATCAAGCATGATTGTTGTTTTTATATCGACTATCGTCCCGAATTCTATTGTACGCTGTAGTTGCCTCTTGTTGTGTTTTATTATCTCTGAATATTTTATCTTGTGCTTCAACATTGATCGTTAAATCGCCTATTTATGTATACATATTAATTATTAATAGCGCTAAGTAATCGACAATGCGTAGCGCATTAGACTGATAGAATCCTTTCGGATATATACGCACGAGAAATTTTCAAATAAATGTGCTGATTCTGTTACGTTTTCAATAGTATATTCATTTTCTCTTTTCTTCTGTTGTTTCCTCTTCCTCCTCTTTCTCCTTATCATCTCGCTTGCTCTGGAAAGTCAAATTGAAATCATCCGGAAACTTGGAACGATACGTGACGAAGTCATCGCGTAATCTGCAGTAATCGGTGAAGAAGGTGAGATATTGGATTTCCTCGTCCGTCGGTTTCGGTGAAAGTAATGGCGGCTTCAACTTGGTTATAATCGGTACTGAACGCCGAATTAGTGGCCGTTTTTTGCTTGCAGGTGGTTCCATAAGGCGCTTCAGAGCATCCAATAGTCGATGCATTAGTTCGAACTAACAATCATGTAAATTATTACGAGTTGAGATATTGTTTGCGTTAAATTATGAAACAATTCGTGTAATACGTAGGCTGCTGGAAAAGTTTCTGCAAACAATATGAAAAAAACATGTAAAATTCGGTAAATGGCTTTATTGTTTTTCGAAGTATTCGCCTTTAAGATCGATACATTTTTGCATACGCTCGAACCAATTTTCGAAGCATTTTTTCCACTCTAAGGCTGCAACCTCAGAAATCAGTGTACGAAATGTTTCAACAGCTGCTTCAGGTGACTCAAATCACTCACCACGCATATTATTTTTAATGTTTGGAAACAAAAAGAAGTTATTAGGTGATAAATCAGGTGAATACGACAATGAGTCATCAATTCGACATTATTACTGGATAAAAAATCAACGGTTTGACGTGCTGTGTGACAACTGGCGTTGTCATGATGAAGGATGATGCGACGATTTCAGTATTTACAGTTCTTTGATCTTTTAAAGCCACGGTTGTCACATGTCCGGTATAACCGAAGAAACAAGCAATCATTTGCTTGGCAGCACTGCGTGAACGAACTTTTGTTGGTTTCGGTTTATTTTAAAATACCCAAAAAGTGGATTGTTGTTTACTTTCGGGCTCATACGAATAGAGCCATTTCGTCCTCAGTAACGATGTTGTAGACCAAATTTGACCGACCTCGATTGAATTTCCTGAGCATTTCTTTGCTCCATTTAACACGAGCCTGTTTTTGAGCTTCGGTCAAATTGTGTGGGATCCAACGACTGCAAAGTTTCCGTACGCTCAAGTGATCATGCAAAATCGTATATATTGCTTTCATGTCAATACCTAAGGATACCTGAATCTCGCGGTATGTTATATGCCGGTCTCGCTCAATTATTTTACGCACAGCATCAACATTAGTGACAACAACAAACGTGGATGGACGACCTTCACGGAATTCATCACTAAGAAAGGTATGTCCACGCTGGAATTCGGCAAACCAATTATAAACAGTCCTATTGGATAGTGTTTCATCCCCAAAAGTCAAATGAAGTCGATCGATGCATTGTTTCGGAGTTAGATTACATTTGTAATCGTAAAAAGTCATTGCCCGAAAATTTTCACGCGAAATTTCCATTTTCTTACGAAATAACTTCTTTTAAAATACTATACAAACAAAACTAGTTGGCTTGGATACAAACTGTCAATTGAATTATAGGTTAAAAACGTCTAATTTTACGGATATGATAGTAGCAGAACGTTGGCGCCACTGGAAGTACTAGATTGCAGAAACTTTTCCAGCAACCTACGTATAATCGTTGTTTAAGATATTAAATTCAAGGCTATATACTTAATCGCAAAATAACAAGTAAACTATTTAGCTCATAATATACAATAATAACAATAAAAGACAAATGAGCAATATTTTAATCAAGATAATAAAATTTAACTTATTACATAAAGACAAATGTGTTTTGAACTTGAACTTAAAGGTCTTTCTTAGCGATGTTACATATATAATATAAAATAAATATATCACAAAATATAACTTATAACTATGTCGGAGTGAACAAAGTTATCAAAAAATTATATTAAAAATCAGAAACATATATGATGTAATTAATAACAATCCAAGTAATAGCAGCTTTAATTCTCTATCAAAAATTATTATCTCACAGAACTCTACAGAATTTCTCGCGATTTCTATGTAATTCTTAGAGGTGCCATATTTAATGAAGTCTCAGAGGGGGAAAGAGAGAAAGACGATATTCTTGTAGTTCTAAGTGCAATAAGCATACATCAAGTTTCATTCACATCGGTGTAATATTTTCGTTTTAAATCGTATAAAAATATTTTTTTAATCATATAAACGTAATTTTTGTTTTAATTTATTTTTGAAAATCATATAATTTTAGGAGTTCCCCTGAGATTAATCTCTTAAGACTGTTTTCGTATTTACAAGTAAAAATTTACCTTTCTTGCAGCGTCCTCCGCTTGCTTTATAACCTTCATCTCTTGACGGAATCCTTCCCGCTCACAAGCACGAACAATTTCACGTGGCAGATTATCCAGCTGGAGATTAAGCTCCTCGTGCATTTTTTCAATCCATTTCATCATCGAAAAACCATCAAGATTCGCGTCGTTCGAATCTATGCAACTCTCATAGGTATCTTCTATGAAAACGCGAAGATAGAGTACTTCTTCAGAGCAGACAAGACGTCGAAAAACATCTCGGAGAAGATAATTAGCGTATTCTTCGAGATTTGCTGCTCTATTTTCTGCCTCAATGATGAAATTCTATCGGATACTTCGATTCGTAAGACTAAATTGTTAATGTTAAAGATATAATGAGAATTTAAAAAAGAAAAACGTATTTCATTAAAGTTTATTTGAAATATTTTATATATAGAATGTTTCCGAAAAATGACAATGAACCTAAAAAGGTGATAGTCAAATTAAAAACTTATATGTAATTTGCATGTCGAGTGACATCACAAGACGATAGATATCAATTTTTGTTAATGGTAATAAGGTTGAAGAATTTTAAACACTTATTGCAAAACAATAATTGAACAAAGTTCTAAAAATAATAATTTTTCCATTACGAGATCTCTTATAATATTATTAGCCTTTTAAGTTTGTCCCCACTTTTCAGAAATGTGTATATAAAAATCCAATGCTTTAGAAGCATGTAATATTCATTGAAAAGTATTCGTTAAAAATAAGTACTCAATCAAAATACATCGAAAAATTGATTTATCCTCTGGTAATCAAATTTTTATAATTCGTAATATCTTTAAGAATTTTTTGTATTTTACATTTATAAAGATTTTTGAAAACTATCTTAAAGTCATTTATATTGTTAAATTTCCTTCAGAAATGATAGAAATATCTTAGAATTATAAAAATTTTGAGAAACTTTCTAAAAAGTTATCAAATTATACAAAAATTCTGAGATTTTTTAATTTATACATATATAAAAATTATAAAATATTATATGAAGAATTGTAGGAGAAAAATTTTTGCCAGAGTGAATTAAAAGAAGACGTATAGTTCTATATAAATGTAAGCACTTGTATTAATGAATTTAGTTTTGGGAATTATTAGGTTGTTCGGAAAGTAATTTCGTTTTTTCTTATGAAAATGAAAGACGATTTTCAATTAGACGTGTTTCAAATGATCATGAACAATCGAATTCGATAAATTTAATCTCTCAGCGATCTCACGAGTTGTTATTCGCCGGTTTGCATCAATTAATGCCTTTATTGTGTCTTCAACTGGCCTTCTAGAACGAGGTGCATCTTCAACATCAAAATTGCCGGATCGAAATTTTGCAAACCAGTTTTGGCACTGGCGTTCTGTCAACATCTTCTCCATACACATCGGATAATTTTTTTCTTACTTGAACAGCATTTTTACCTTTTCGATAGTAAAAAAGTAAAATATGCCGAAAATGCTGCTTTTCACTTTCATATTTGATAGGGCACCAACCAAAAACTACTGCGTAGAATCAATCGAACTTTTTTCATAAGCAAGCCTTGCTATATCAGCTGTCAAAATATATAATGATTATGCGGCTTAAGTGTGAAGTTGGCTGTGAAAAATACAATTAAGTCCTCTGTTGGGAAAAAACGAAATTACTTTCCGAACAACCCAATATTTTTGTTTTTAACATGATTCATTTTTCAGTCTACCTTGATTAATCTTTTATTCTTTTCATTGAATGTTATATCACTAAAATCTTAGAATCTTTTTTCAAACATGTATTTTTTCCAACATGTATTAACATGTTTAATTTGTAAATCACGTGAACTGATCGAATTAAATTGGTACGAACTTCTAAATCATTGATTGTTGTAGTAATTTCGCTGATTTCTCGTTTGATTTGCGCTTCAGTCACAGTGATTGTCATAGTTATGTCTGCCATCGGGACGGCGAGGGATTCGAGATGTACGAGTGCGTTTAAATGCTGGGTCTCCATTGCCCGGAAGATGCGGATTAAATCGAATGGATCATCGAAGTACAACACGGCCGGACCAGCATCAGTAATGTCCTGTTCGAATAATTCTAACACAAAACGATTGTTCGTATATTAAGAAAAAAAATTTTGAAAAGTATTAAGCGCTAAACATTTCGTCCAGAATTACCTATCAATTTCTCCAAGGATGCGGTTTCATCTAGTGTTTTGTATCTGTTAAATAGATCCACCGAGAGTGGAATATCAACGATACTGCTCCTTTCTGATTCAGACTGTTGCCAGTCATACTTGGTTCTCCAAGCGACAGGTGACACGCAATAAAGGAACATCTGGCACATTTTTACTAATCTCCAATTTTCTTCTAAGACATAAATGTCCAACCTACTCTGACCGAATTGTTTCGCAAGCTCGTTCTTTTGAGTACTAATCTCTTCCGTCAGTTTCGTTTCCCATTCCGCTTTCTTCAGCATTTGCATACTTTTCTCGTGATCTTTCGATAGGAATTCCTCGAAGTCGCTTACGTATCGCCGACAGCGATACTTTTGCAAAATAGTAGAACGTATGAATTTATATCGAAATATATTTATTTAAGAAATTAGTATTATATAGTGTCGGATAAGGTGCTTCTTGTGCATACTGGATAAGAAGACATTTTTTGCGCGTATATGAAATATCTTATTCAAACTAATTATTTTCGTTGCTATTGATGATAAAAGAAAATATATAAGAGAGAAATAATTACAAAGAAAAAAATGTATAAGAGAGGAATTATTATAAGGAATTTTTTCAAAGTTATACAAAAAGATCAATATATTAAAATTTAATCAATAAACTTGAATTTGGATTAGGTGATACATATAATATAAACTTCGTTGTTCGAATAAGAGGGGTTCTTACGGAAAAAAATTGCTAGTGCAGTAGTATAATAGTAATAAATTCGATAGTAGTGTTTCAGTACATGATATTAGGATAATATTCTATTTTTATACTCTGTGATCATATACTAAAAACATTAATATAACGTCTCGGTAAAATATCATTTCTCATACTCGTATATTGTCAAGATGTATTAAATATAGTAACTAAACTTCGATTTTGATACTAATTTTATACTGTATTATATACCCAAAACATCTTCACAATTCGTGTGGCATCTCTCGTGTATATCTATAATACATTTTTAGAATAAACTCACAATATAAAATGTAGAATTAACGCTATCTGCATAAGTAATAACTTCTATTCTATAACTTCTTACAACGACGGCCCTCCTGTCGGATCGAAATCTGTGTTGAAATTCTCACTTTCGCGTAGTACTGTCTCTAAAAAAAGTCATCGCATTATTTAGGCCGCATCCATAATTCTTATTTTACGATCATCTTAAGTAATGTCTTAAAATAAACAACCATTAATCTTACAAGGAACTTTTTTCAAATGTCACTCGCCGATTTTTCTCTTTTGGATTTTGGTTCAAGATATCAAAAAATGATTTTTTATACCAAAAATAACTATCAATATTAACCATAGCTTATACACGGTGTCTCATTTTTAATAATGAATTAAAATTCTTCGAAAATAACGCGTTTCTGTCAAAAATGTTTCAAACAATAACAAAAATTATTTGATTTTAAAAGAAATGTAGAATAGCGTTCTTTATTTGACCTCTGTGGAGGTGATTTCATAATCAACTAAACTTTTTTAGTGAAATTATATGATTTTTAAACGCAAATCGATTCCTCTCATCATTCTGCTTACAAAAATGTTAGTTTAAAATGTTTGAAACATTTTTGGCAGAAATGCATTATTTTCGAAGAATTTTAATTCCTTATTAAAAATGAGATGTATAAGCGCTATTATTATAAGGCTAATATTGAGCAGTTATTTTTGACATAAAAAATCACTTTTTGATGTCTTGAATCAAAATCCAAAGAATGAGAAAAATCAGCGAGTGAAAAAGTTTCCCTAATTGTTAGTCGCGGAATAGCTCGTCGGATTGTTCTGACAATGAGAGTAAGATTAGATTTGTATGGGGGAGAGAGAGAGAGAGAGAGAGAGAGAGAGAGAGAGAGAGAGAGAGAGAGAGACGAGTGTTAATAAAATATGAAAGTTTTAAGAGTATGACAAGAGAAACAGTGAATTGAGTTATCAAAGTAACACAAGATATAAAAATGTATATAATATTCACGATTCGTAATACGCCAATAATTCGAAGTGAAAATATATAAATATGTCTGTGTGTGATAGATATGTGACAGAATAATACAATACATGCTGTATACATGTATGTGTGTATCATGAAAGCGGTGTGCGGAATTTACTCGTAACGGATGTTATAGCTAGACGTATGTGCTGTGTAGAGCTCACGGTGTGCGGACGGGCCCCACGATGGACAATGCCAATTCGCGGAGCGCGGTCGGATTCGGAGTCGGCCGACGCCAATTTGTAGAGCATGGTCAGATTCAAAGTCGGGCGACGCTGTTCTCGGATCGTGGTATTGCGGCAGGCACGTCGATATAAACACGTTACATGCATAAATGCGTTGGCCTGGTGATCCGTGTACGCGGTGAATGTGATAGTACGGGATCAGTATGTGACTACAAGATTTCTCCTGAAGATAATGAAGATAGCGACAACGCTTGATAGAGGCAAAAAAACGCTCTACTCTCGTGTCCATCGTTATTCCGATATGCAGAGATTTGGCTGACTCGCCGACTGCTGAAAATACTCAGTGGAGGCAAAGTATGCACTATCCCCTTGTTAGGACCGCAATAGATGGGAGAGAGAACACAAATAAAATGCTCACTATATAGTAATATCACAGCAATATCATTTTTCCATTGCAATATTACAATAAAATGTAGCAGAAATATCGTTGAAATATTACTAAGAAATATTACTGAGATGTCACAGTTATATAAGAATGTCCGCGAAAATGAATCACAGGAATATTATTGAGATATATCACAAAAATATCACTATAATATTATATAATATTTCTGTGATATTTATTGGGAAAAATTAAAACATTTTAAAGAGAATTTTGTAAAGAATTTATTGAATTGATATTTTTAATGTTATTCCATGATATAAATTATTCCGATTAATATTTAAAAAATTACTTAATATGATATTAATTAAAAAATACTACTAGTTGCTAATACAATAACTATTATATAATATTATAATAAACTAAAACAATTATAATAAACTAAATAGTATTTATAAAATTATGTGTGTATACGTATAATTTTGTGATATTTTAAAACATCTTAATGACGTCTCTAATGTTAATAAAACATGATGAAAGCGTTATTAATTATAATGTTACTCTGTTACTTAAGACGACACATTGCTATAATATTACTATGCTGGTTATCAATATGTAATATATCAGTAATATTTCTGATATTATATTGGTATATTGCAATATTACTGTGATATTGCATGCTATGTGGATGATATATGTATAGGACCGCAACGAGAGGAAGAAAAAAGAGCACGAATAAGTTGGTAAGTATAGAATCGCAATGAGAAGAAGAAGGGATACGCATAAGATGGTAAGGATAGGACTGCAAGTGGGAGAAAGAAAGAACAAAACCCTCTTTCCCTCAGACTCTTCGCAAAGCGACGAACTTGCTTCCTTCCTTACTTCGCGCATGGAGTAAGAGTATCCCGTGCCACACACTCCGCTAAAGTCATTAGATTTATAAAGTACCGCAAACTCGCATTCATTTTGACGCAGCCATTTCAAATTTATGCATTTGTATACACGTACTTTCGGGAAAGTGAAGCCGTCAAGTACGTAAATTAATGTTTCTTAAATTTTAAATATTAGAAATTCTGAAATATTAATTCAATTTAATTGAATGTATATTGGATAGTAGTTCAACATCTTAACACTAGGACCGGGAAGGCGCTAGGTATTTAAAGTGTGGCTGTATGCTCCTTTTCATTTAACAATGTTTTTTAATTGTAATTTGTTTATTCATAAACAAATTACAAAAATATATACGAATGATTTATGTATTTACGCTTGATTTATGTATTTTTTAGTTTAATACGGATTTATTTGTTGTAGAAGTTTAATCCACAAAAGTGCATGAAGACATGTAAGTTCAGTTTAAAAGATAAACCACCATGCTTGAAATTGTATACTATGTGCACTATTCCGCCATTTTGACGCGATATTTCTTAAATCAATTATAGTAATTTATAAAGCTAGTGATTTTAAACTCCACACGACTCAAGCGCTACCTGCTGATTGTATCCGTGAATTAGAACTGGCCTATTTTTTCTACTAAAAAAAATTAAAAGTAGGGAAAGGCCTTTGTGAATCGATACAAAATGTTATTAAGAGTGTTATTTTAAATTTAAAAAAAAATCATGTTAGAGTTATACATGTATGTATATACCATGATCACCATTTTTTTAAATAATAATTTGTAAAATGCGCTTTTAAAGTCCAGAAATAAAAATTTTGCACTTAATATTATATTAATTTATATTGACTTCATTTTTATAGCTTTCATGCTAGTGATAATTAAAAAAATTTTTTTTCATTTTTTTAATTCTAAAAAAACAGTATAATTTTTTATAATAACTGAAGGTATAATAAATGAAGGTAATATAATTAATTTAAATAATATATGTAGATGATCTTTAAATCGCTGGAAATATGATTTTAATAAGATTTTAATGCAGATTATGTTATCTTTCTTTCAAAACAAAATAATTTTTTTACATAATTTTCTGGTATCATCGATTGCAAGAAAATATTTCATAAGATTGCATAAAGTAAAATACTTTGCACCTTATAATAAAACAAAAAAATTTCAATAAAGAGTACAGCCAAATGGGTAGGAGAGACCGGGGCTAAGTAAGCACCGGGACTAAGCTGGCATTTGAATTTTGAGTGGCAAAAATATATCTTACGAGTTCCTAATATTGTAGATGACATCTCGTGTTTTCTTTACTAATGAAGTTTGATTAGTTTAGGAGCCACGTTATTATATTGAAGTAGTCAAAAATAATTTTTGAGATTTTATTTTTCAAATTACATTATTTTTTGGGAATGAAATGGAGTTGCAATCCGGCATTCTTGAGATTTCCAAGATCACATCATTTTTTGTGGATGAGTTAAAGTTGTAAAACTTTTTATTGCCATCTTGTAGTCTTATAATTCACTCTATAAAACGCTAATAATCATTTGATTAAAATCATCTATTTTATTATTAAAAACTGCAATTAAAAAAAAAGGTGCCCACTTAGTCCCTATATATGGGGAATGTGTCCCTAATTCTGACAGTGAAATTAACCCATACAGTATCGAAAACTTGCAGTATGATTTTTTAATAACGATTTAATAGCTTTCTACACAATATCATTATTCACATAAAAGTTTTTCGTAATTAAAGTAGAACAAGTCACAATAATATTAAAATGACGTTAAACTGAATCGTGATAAAAAAATGATTGATCAAAAAAATGACATTTAGTAAACATTTTGGAGCCATTTTAACATCATGATTTTTTGTTCTATTTAAATATATTTTTAAATTTATTGCCTATGATAAATTTTAAAAACATTTCTGTTAAAATTTCATATGACATATTGCAGAATCCTTTCAGAATTGTTACACATGTGAAAAATTGTTGTAGATGTAAAAGATTGAAACATTTTTGAAAATTTTCTGCAATAATACTGTATGGGAAGGATTAAAATAGATATTAAATGAAAAATCTCGTTAAACTGAATACAAATATATATTTCTATTTTCCGTTTCAAAGTTATAGGCTCCAAAATTATAGAGTTCCAAAGTTCTGAATTCAAAACGATTTTTTTATGGCTGCGGGGAGTGCGCTATCAATATTATTTGTGTCATACTATCCTTGTTTCACATTTAATAGACGATAAAGATAGAATGAGACACAAAGCGACTCTCCGAATGCAGCCTATGTGCGGCACAGCCACACTATTAATGCTTGTGTTCAGCAGAGAAAGCAGCTTTGCAACTATTGTAAAATTTTTTAATATGATTGATTTAGATCCATAAGGAATCAAAAGCAAAAACCAATTCTTCGTATTGAAGAATTTTAAAACAGTTAGCAAAGCTACTTTTTTTGCTAAATGCGCAGCTATTATATAGATTAGGCGATTCATTTACTATCTATTTTAATCCTTTCACTGCCAGAATTGGTGACACATTTTAGCCGCACTCTTTCTTATTGTTTTTGTAAAGCGTAACCTTGTGTAATTGTTATTATTTTATAAATATTTCTTTTAAAAAATATTAATTTAATTACGTTAAAGTTTATACCTGGATTTGTCGTAATCGACGTGTCTCTTGCTCAAATTGTTGATCGATGCGAATACAATCATCTTTTTCTTGACTAATAAGAAGTTTTGTTTTTAATATCTCTCTTATATCTTGAATATACTCTTTCAATGAAAACTTTTCTTTCACAGGTCTACCGGATAATTCTGTAAAATACTGTGGATCTACATCCGTCATGGCAATCATTTTATCCAACTCTTTGTGTTTTTTTGCTTCTTCTGCTTCTATCTCAACCTATGCAAAATTTTGTAGAAAGCATAATAATGCATGATATATGTCTACTGAAATTTTCTTTTAGTTTCTTTCTTTTTTATTTTTCCTATGTTTTATTAGAGATAAAAAGACTAAACTTAGAAATAAAAAGACGATTTCGATCAAAAATTTTCTTAGAATTTTTTGCATAATTCTTCAAAATTTCTATACATATAAATAGTAGGAGGAGTCCGTGAGCATATTGACCATATGGAAGAGTTAAATTACTTTATATTTCTCGTTCAAATTTTCGTACCACTTGCATAGTTATCAAGCTGGCAACTATTTATCATTTTTTCGAGAAATTTGAAATCAAAATGACATGATCCATACGTCGCGGTTTGACAACTACTTAGCCTGAAATTTGAATGAGATATTTGAAGTGGTTCAACTCTCCTATATGGTCAAGTCTCCCGAATTCCTCCCCATAACTTTTTAAGAAATTTCTCCGAATTGTTATACAAATTGGAATATTTTTCAGAAATATCTAAAAAAATCTATATTTTCCAAAATTTTTTATGTACGTGATTTCTGAAACATTTTAAGTTTTTTCATCATTTTTCTATAATTTCTGAAGAAAATTTATAAAATCTAAAAAAGTTTAGATATTTTTCATCAAATGCTTAATTTAAATATTTTAAAATATTATGAGATCTTATGAGATTTTTTTCACCAAAGTTTATATACTAATGGTTAATATATATTTTGAGAATTTAATAAATTAAATTATATTATATTGTAACATAAATATACTCATCAGAGATCTCAATAATAATAAATAAGCACAACTTACATGTAAAATATTATGGGATTGCAAAATTTTATGTCGATCCTTGTAGACTTTCCTATCGCGTTTGGATATCGCTTTCTTTTTCAGCATTTTCCACCATTGAAGATGGGACAAGGTTTGAGAACAAGAAGGAAAAGCAAAAGGCGATTGTTGCTCTCTTACATTTTCATCTTCATTTAAGAATTTGTCACCGCTAGTTCGATAACGTCGCATTCTAAGAAATTGACAGTTTTTCGCGTTACAACAAATTGAAGCTTTCACATTCTGCTCGAAAGCACGAATATACGATCATTTTATTTCAAATCAAGAAGACATGAAAGAAAAACACAGTGCTTATTTCTACTAATGTAGATTGACTTTAATGACTTTAATCTTAGTTTACTATTTATCTTTTTTTAATTCTTAAAACAAGTTAAATCAAGAATCAAGTTAATCTATTTTGGTAGAAATAGACATAAGAGATGGAAAAAAGGCATAAAATTTGGTTTTTACGGTTTTATAACCTTGAAAAATTGCGATAAACATGACTGTTAAAAGTTGGTCCGGTCTTATGCGTTACGCGTAATTTCCTGCGTGCTGTCAGCTGATGGATTCTTTGGTCGACTTCGCGCAACTCAGAAAAGTTCATCTTCCGCGTTTTATTTTTCATTAATCTGAATTGAAAGCACACAAAAATTCACAGTAACTATCATGAAAGCCATCGAATTACATCGAACGGAGAGATATAATTTGTTTGACATGCGCTTTGCGTTCTTCTGGATATAGAGCTGCGTTCAATAAGCTATGTATATATTTTTGTCTCACAGATCTCCCGATAAAAAATTTTTATATAAAAATATTCTATAAAAATGACCTTACGAAGGTAAAAAAAAAACGCCAAGTACATATAAATATATTCAAAAGAACGTAAGCAATGAAAAAAATTTATGTTTATTTAAAAGTCATAAATAAGTGCACTGAAAAAAATATTTTAATTAAAAAAATATTTTATTTGATCAAAAAATAATTTCTTTAAATACTAGCAATGACAATATTTATTTGACAACATTGATTTGAATCTTGCAATGAAAATTACGTAAATTAAATGATAATATAAAACAGTGTCTTATAGTGATCCTTGAATGGTCTTGAATCTTAAAAACTCATTCAAGGTCAAACTGATAATATGAATAATTGATCTTTTTAAACCCTACAACTTTGGTCTGAAATATTTTTCTATAAAATGTACATTTTCCAAATTCTTTTTTCCATACCCTATATATCCGGTCTACATTCTAATAAAGCCCATTTTATCTTTTATCTCATGTCTCTCGCTTGCATAGTAGCTATGCGCAACGCGGTTTGCCAAAAGGAAAGGATGATTTCAGTGGGAAATCGCCGCGATGCGTGTCCGGAAGGTGTACGCGTACCACACTTTCATTGTTCTTCGATGTCTCGACGGGAATAGGTGTAAGCGATTTCGCTTGTGTTTCTACGAGCACTAATATACTTGTTGTCGTCCCAAGACGAGAGTGATCTAAATATTCTGCGAAGTAAGTGTCCGATCTTTTTCCAGAATTATAAATTTTAATCAATTACAAATTTAAATAAGAAAATTCGCGTAGAGCGAAACATACGCATTATAACAATCAAAGCGACGAAAATGTCCGAGGTAAAGTATTGATAGCGCGAGAAAGTATTTTTAGCTTTTCAAATTTTAGAGTTAAAACTTAATTAGAATTAAGTTTTAGAAAAATTTAAATAATATTATAACAGAAATTTTTTAAATATTTTTCCTTCATTTCATGTTTCTATACTTTTGTGAAAACAAACATTAAAATTTTTTATTATTTAAATTTGTATTTATTTAATATTGAAGTGCTTAGAAATTTTATAAATAAATGCGTTAAGAAGAGGATATATTGTATACTTTGGCAAGTTCGCCTTTTATCAAAATATATTTTAAACTTATATTTTGATTTAAAAAAATATACACGTAAAGCAAATAAAATCATACAAATATATTACTTTTTGTAAAGAAACATAGTTAAATCAAGACAGACAGGCTTTTGTAAAGAAACTTTTTAAAATTTACGATATTATTTATATTTTAGGTACATAAGAACAAAAGTTTTTGTAAGCTGCAATAGCATATGATATATTGATAAAGAATATTTGAAGGATACTATAATCGAAGATACTATCCAGTAAGTAAGAAACATTAGATTAACATTTTGAAATATTAATTTTATATGAATTTCATTGACGTTTTTATCTAATATTTTAGAAATCTAATCATATAATATTACCTTATAATATAAATAATCATATAATATAAATATAATACCTTATAATATTTTTGAAGACCTTTAAGAAATATTTTAATAATATAAATTCTCTGAATATTTTGTAATTATAGCACATAATGTTGAAAAAAACGTTGCTAAGATGTTGCAATGTTAAATGTTGATGTGTGTTTTAGTGAAATGATTTTTAGAATAATGAGCCAAAGGCACCAAGATGAAAAACAAATGAAGTGCATCTTAATACATCATAAAATGAAATGTAATTTTATAAATATTTCATTTAGTTTTATGTAAAAATTAATTTATACACCTAATATTGTTGGAAGTTTATATGATATTCAATAAATGTTAAATCAATGTTCTCGAATATTGAATTGCAATATTTATAAGATGTTATTTTAACAAACACGAAATGTTTTTGTAATGCTTTTTCAACATTGTACAATATTGTAATTTAATGTTTTTGAGATATTGATTCAATATTTAACGCAACATTATTTATAACATTATTTTATGATAAAATATCATACTATAGAAACCTCCAAATTGCGGTCAAAGGTTATTCATTATGATGTTGTATACAACATTAAATATAACGTATTTGAAAATGCTATACGTTATTGAAGATCCTTGCAATAACGTTGTAGTAATGATGTTTTGTTTATTGGGTATAATCGAATACATATAAAATCCCAATACTCTCATATTATTCTGAATAGTAATATGAGAAGTATTAAGGAAGCGAATTATCCAACCGCTATGTAAATATTTGTTGAATACATCCAAAACAATTAACGAAGCGTAAAAACGATGGCGGGATGAATGGAGTTGGATTTTGCATTATCATACAAGGATGAACAATGCAATTTCGCCATAGCAACGTCGTAGAATCTCGCAATTTGATTTATCTATATAGGTTGCAAGCTGTACCAGTTATGCACATGCATCCAACTACAGCAATATACTTAGGTCAAGATGCTATCTGTTTAAAAAGTTACTTTTATCTTAAGCGTTAAAT